GCGCCTATCCAGTTGCCTATTTGGGCTAATACTGGGCGGGGCTGAAGGATGTAGGAGCTCCGCAGAAATCTGATTTAATCAAGTACTCACCTAACCAAGTACCGAAATGGGCTCCTTTTTACCCCCACATTATTTTTGTAGTGTATAGCTAACTCTGTGGACTACCGCATGATATCTTTCTTTGTTACTTAGAGATAACTTCATCAATATCCTTCTCCGGTCAATTATTGACTTTTACTCTCTGCTTTCGAGTCCAATTGTAATACCGCCTCCTGCTTACTCCTTTGAGCTAGTGTCGGATATCTCGGAGCCAAGATCCTAATTCAAACGGCCCCTGGTTTCATTGAGGAAAGATTTACGTATACTGGGATGAGCATTCGATTTCAGATCAGGAAACGATGCGGGCATAGACATTGAACGCATTGTCGCGTATTCCAAGTAAGCAGAATAAGCGATCTTCTCACAATACCCTTCTAGGGTGCTTCAAATGAGGTGATCCTTTCCTATTCCCACACGGTTGTGAAACAGCGCCCCAATTACCCCATTTCTGTTGCTCGAGGTATATAGAATACTTAGATATAAGAAAGAGCTTCTGTCCTCTAGATTTTTCCTCTATCAAAATTGAAGTCTTCTACCTCATCAGGAACAGTCAACCACAAAGCCTTCTTACCCATTCCATTGCAAGATGCAGCTCCTCTCTCTCGTCAGTGTCATGGCACTTGTGCCTGCAGTGTTCTCATCCCCAGTGACCGAATTCAAGAAAATCGCGGTCCGGGCTGATGATCGGGGCAACGAAACAATTTCTGGCCTGGGAGCCCGCAAGCAGGCAGTGGTTGGCGCTGGCGGCAACACTCGTGACCTCGCGATTGCGATGCTGGAGACGAAGACAATGACTACCGATTACACCTATGGTATGTACAGGTACTAACCAGCTTGTGAAACTCAGTAGGGTGTTAACAATCACGCCAACAGGTGATGGAAAGGATGGCGACGGTACCAACTTCGGTATCTTCAAGCAAAATTGGTATATATTGCGACACTCTGCATCCGAATTCCTGGGACAGACCGTTGCCGAGGTTGCTAATGGTGCAATCCTCAAGTAAGTTCTCTGGTTTATAGACTGCCCCGATCATGTTTACTGATACTCGCTAGCTCCAATCTGGGCAAAGATATCCAAGCCCGCCACGACGGTGAGAAACACTACGGGTATGAAACCTGGTTCAGTGGCCACCGCAACGGTGAAACTGGTGTCAACAACCCAGGCACAGCTGATATCAATGGTGAGTTTTCCTATTCCATGAATCGCTTGACTTATTCTCACATCGTGGATAGCGTACATCGATGCCGTGGCATGGATTCAACAGCAGATTGAGAGTGATGAGAAGTATCAGTCTGATGATACTCGGTTCTGGGTTGATGTCCAGGCCATTTAGGGCACTGGGGAAAGCACGAGGACATCCCCTCCCTTCCTCAGGTAAGGGTGACAAGGGACACATTTGGTTTAACTCTAGAGATTTCGCTTCTTACACTCGTTTGGTCGTAACTCGTTTTGTAACTTTATCACACAAATACGCTCGTTTATCAAAGAACTGTTCCTACAGTATAATACGGAGCCTTATCATAACCCGGTTCCATTTTGTTGAATTTTGAGGTAACCCAGCTGTATCGTCTAATAAGCTCGAAGGTCGGCATATTACGACTATAAATGAAGGGACAGTGGACCTCAGCGCCACGGGTTGAAGGAAGAGTTGCAATTAATCAGCCAAAACACCGACTGCTCAATTTTACTCATCACAAAGTGGCTAGGAGCGAGCACTAAAACGGAAAGGTAAAGGCATGCCTGAAATTTGATGCATTTGTACATTAGTCCGAAGACCCTAAGCCGCCCACTTCATATGGAGATCCTTACCTCAGATATCAACGTCATTAGTCCTAGGCTCCTGTCACAGCTACACCTATCAAAGCCCCAATAGGCCCCGCAGCTCAACCAATTCCTTGCTCACACCTCCAGCGCTAGCCAATGTTTTACAGCTCGCCTCCTGAGCTATAGGAATGACATCCTCAATGCGCACGGAAGGGCCCTTAGCCAATCCAGCCACCACAACACCTAGCAGTGTATCACCCGCCGCATTGACACTGACAATGTCATCGGCACCTAGAATAGCACCAGGCGGGAACAGACGCATGTAAACACCACCGAAAGGCACGTCCGATGCAGGCGACGCGCGGGAAAGAATATATGGCGCAGACTCCGGATCCGTAAGACGGGAATCTCCAGGCGGCAGAAGCTGGGTGAGGAGAGCACCTGCACCACCGAGCTTGGTAACGATACAGGGAATGAAAGGAAGCAGCTGAACAGTCTGCTGCGGAAGGCCCTCGTCGACGAGAGACAGCGAAGTGATTGCAATGAGACGCTCACGCGAGCCTGTCGGGGACATATTCATAGAGTTAATGATATGCCACCATCCCGCAGACTCGAAAAGAGAAGATTCCCGCGCAGCAGTGTACATAGCTGCCAGCTCGAGACGGTTCGGACACGCAAGACTGATAGCATTGTCTGGCACAGTTTTATTGGGACCAATAGTTGCGCCGGTGTTGTTTGCACCGCTACCAAATAGACGTCGGGATTTGGCTGTTGAAACGGGCTCGAAGGCCACGCGCGCGCCATGTTTGCGTGCTACAGCACTCCACTTGGCCATTACTTCGGGCCGCCAGTTGGCGTCGACAACGACCCAGTTTGGCTTGGTGCGTTCGAGGAGAGGTTCCCAGAAGCCGTCAAAGTCGAGTTGGGATTCGGGTAGCTCGACGATGCCCATGTCGGCCATAGCTACTAGAAGGTCCTTTTTGATGTCGTTGATCGCAATGTATTGTGCTGTGCGGATGGATGGCGTTGCTTGGAGGACTTGAATGCCAGCGGTGCTGAGGCTTTCTTTTTCAAGGGTTGATAGTGCGGCGCGGCCGCTGAGATCGTCTGCAACGACGCTGCAGAAGATCACGTCGCTACCGACATAGTTGGCGGCAACGGCAACGTTGTGGCCAACGCCGCCTAGGCTTTGGCCGATAATTGCTGGGTTGGAGGTGTGCGGTACTGGTGCAACCTGTGTGGGTTCGTCCCCGAATGGAGTGTAGTCGCAGGATAGATCGATGGCTAGCGAGCCGGCTACCACGACATCTGCCTTTAGGGTCGGGGTAATGGGTGCCTCGCTGATGGCTAGTTTCGGGACATCTTCAACTTGACTTGGCAAAGCTACACCTGGGATTGATGGCATGTGTCTATAGGGAAGGAGATCTCCGAACTTAGCATTGATTGAATCTCATGTCTCGTATCTAGAAATAAAACTCACCGAGACCCTGTTTCTAGGTCAGCTTGTTCAAGCTTGGCAAGTTCCACAGCTACTAGGGTTGCCCGCTTGACATTGGACTCAACCAAGGCCCGGTTAGCAACTACGCTCTTTCCACCGCTTAGTTCCTTGATCTTAGCAAGCACAAATGGCGTGTTGTCACTGCCGTGGTAACCCTCTACATGTGAAAGGCGGATAGCTTCTTCAATCACAAGATCCATCTCGGCTTTAGGGATTGAGTGCTCCAGGGGGACGGGATTGGCGAAGTGGATTCCGGAGACTACTGGAAGCTTTGATTGCGCATCTGAAGATTATGTCAATGGAACTGTAGCTTTCAATACATGGGTAAACTTACAAACGATGGCGGCAGCTTCAGCTTCATTTTGAATGACTCTGGGACTGCGAATGCCGCTCTCTCGTGTAAAGAAAGCAGGGAAGTCAACGGGGCCATCCCGGCCATCAGCAAATGTACCCACGCAGACACCTTCAGTCTCGAGGTATTCGAGCGTTCGAGGAATGTCCAAGAAACTCTTGCATCCAGAGCTGATCACCGTCACCGGGGTACGTCCAAGTTCAGTAAGATCGGCTATAATCATTTGTCAATAATTAGGGATACTGGTTTTGTTTCCACAGTTTTCCCTACCAGAAATATCCATTGAGTTTTCTCCTCCGCGATGCACGCCACCTAAAGCAAGTCAGATAGGTTAGATTTTCGATTGAATATTGATCATTGGATTTACCTAGTCCACCGGTACCAAAGATCTTGATACCAGCTAGTTCTGACAGGATCATAGTGCCCGAGATTGTGGTACCGCCGTACATAGGCTTACCAACCATGCCCTAATATAGATCAGTTTCGGACCTCTAAGCCATTGTAACAGCAACTCACCATGCCACAGATATATCCAAGATCTCTACGAGACACTTTCAGAGCGCTCTTATCTTGAGCTGTCGAGGCCAGCTCGATAAGCTCTTCCGCACTCAGACCAACTTTGGCCACACCACCAAGGATTCCTATTGTTGCAGGTACACCACCATTGGCTCTCACAACAGACTCCAACAATGCGGCAAGAGCAAGGTTATCGGGATAAGGGAAACCTACAGCCGGTCAGTCTTGGCTTCCCCGCTTTTGAGCGAAGTTCTTCCATCCCAGGAATGAACATAGGAAGACTCACCGTGTGTATAGATTGTTGTCTCGAGTGAGACAACTGGTTTCCCTGTAGCAACTGCATCACGTACTTCTTCTGACACTTTAAAGAACTTGCTCTGGGCAAGACCATGATAACGACGAGCGGACGGCAGTTGGGTTCCCCTCAGACAGCCGGACTTTAGAGCAGTTCGAGATGCGAACATCGTGCGTGACAACATGGTGATAGCTGAAATGGAGATTCAGCTGTACCTCCAGCCAATTCGAACCTGCACGTCAAGTATGCAAGAAGTAAAGAAGCAAGATGAGGAGAAGCTGCCGAGATCAACCAGGCCCTTATCAGTGATAAGCCGGAGTGCGCGATGTGGCCGCTTCGGCGACCCTAGTATACAATGGGGACCACGTATCATCAGCTTCGCAAGCTCCCCCAGGTTCATCGACTAGACACATTCACAACCTGGATTCTTGAACCTTTTGAATCTTGGAGAAATTGTGTCCTCCAGGTATTCATAATGAGGTTTTTCACCGCCACGGTGCTCGGGCTGCTCGCGCCCAGCCTGTGCGCCGCAACCAACCTTACTACGCCTAGTCGATTGGATCTTCCGTCCGGCTTCAAGCCACCGCAGGTTTTCAAAAACACAAATCTGGTTCGGAATACCAATTTGGAAAAGAGCTATGTGCGGGAAACAGTCAATGTTGTTGTGGAGAATGTCGACAAGAAGCCTCAGAACGACTACTACATCCCCTTCTCTGCCGAGGTGTTCGACCGTATTGGAGGCTTCGAAGTGAGAGATAAGAAAGCCCCCGAGAAGGGACGCTTCAATGTGGACTATACTGAAGCTGTATCATCCGAGTGAGTATCAATTGGGAGGCCAATGGCCATGTCAGGAGTCTAGCCTTGTAATCGGCGAGGTACATACACGGTGACACCAATTCTAACATCGATTGAAACAGCGGCAACCAATACTTCGTCATTCACCTTCCCGAGCCTCTGGCCCCGAAGTCGCAGGTTACCCTTGGAATCTCGTACTCGGTGCTTTCCTCTCTCAGCCCGCTTCCCGCGACCATTGGACAAGCGGACAAGCAATACCTCACCTACTCCTTTTCCGCCTATATGCCATCCGCCTACACGACGGATACACAGAAGACCAAGTTGAAGTTCCCCAGCACCAATGTGCCGGATTACACAACTACTGATGGTCTCAAGTCCGGCTCGGACCCCGAGCGCAAGGGCGCGACATACACTTACGGTCCGTATAACACAGCTCAGGTGGCCCCAGGCACCGAGCACCCAATCACCGTCCGCTACGAGTTTACTAAGCCCGTAATCACCGTAAACCTTTTGGAGCGTGACTTGGAAGTCTCGCACTGGGGCGGCAACCTTGCAACCGAGGAACGGTACTGGCTACGCAACAACGGCTCGGAGCTGACCAATCAGTTCTCGCGTGTCGAGTGGACTTTCACCAGCTACCAGAAAGCGCCTACTTCGGCGGTTCGTGAGCTGGCATATCCGCTTCTTCCCGGCTCTGTCGACCCTTACTTTATTGATGATATCGGCAATGTCTCGACCAGCCGCTACCGTCCAAGTGTTGGTAGGAGCGCAGGTAGTTTGGAGCTGAAGCCCCGTTACCCGATCTTCGGAGGCTGGAACTACAGCTTCCGCATTGGATGGAACAACAACCTTGCTTCGTTTCTGCGCCGTGCCGCGGGTGTCGACTCCGACTCCTATGTCCTCAAGGCCCCGCTCATTGAGGGACCTAAGATGGCTGAAGGTATCCAGTATGAGCGTGTGATTGTGCGTGTCGTTCTCCCCGAAGGTGCTCACAATGTCCGTTTCGAGATCCTCGAGGGAGCTAACAGCAATGGCCTTCCTGGGGCCAACCACATTCACGCTCACGTGAGCTCTCTCAAGACTTACATGGATACCCTGGGCCGGACTACCTTGACCCTGGAGGTTGACAGTCTAACCGACGAAGCGCGTGACTCCAAGTTCGTGGTATGTATTGATTTGTATTGTCACTTGTCCATCTCGCAATCATGCTAACTTGCCATTAGGTTACATACGATCACTCCATGATTGATGCCCTACGCAAGCCTTTGACTATCTTCGCGGGGCTGCTCACAGTCTTTGTCGCTGCCTGGGGCATTGGAAAGATTGATGTCAGCATCAAGAAGCGGTGAACTGCGTGAAATGGATTCTATTCATATTGATATCATATTGTCACCTTTCTATAGTCGTGTCCAAGGGATCTCACCAATCGACTTGTATGTTTACAATGTTTTCAGCTTTCCAGCTTCCAACGTGCCTTCCAAAATCCCTGTAATCTTCAAGTCAGGGTCGCTCCTTCCTCTGAACGTACTTGCCTACTGGGTATACACTATCAGATCGCAATTGTAAACAAACCTCCGTATTGACTCAGGTATTTCCTCGTCCTCCTCGATTCCACCATCCCTTTTCCCTCACTCCCCACGTGTTCTATCATCTGCAGTCATGCTTCAAATAAAGCAATCGCCGAATAAACCTCGTCCACCCCCTGTGGATGACAACACCACGCAAGACTCGCCATCCAAAGTAAACCTGTCTTCCACCCGCAACCCCCTCGGCCCAGTGGTGGTATTCATCGCCCGAGCCTCGAACCTGACCGACCACAGCTACCCAAAGGCAACCATGACCGCCGGCCAAATGCACGCATACCTACGTTCACTTCTGGTAATCACCCTCGCCGAGCACCGCAAGCGATTCGGTGTCCTAGGTCTCCGTCCCCACAAGATACAGACAATCATCCAGCCCGCTCAAACCCGAATCTCAGCCGTCAGTCGAATCGGCAAGTATCTAGCAATGGCTCTCGAAGAAGCCCGAGCGTCCAAGACTGAGTGCATCTTCGTCCTACATGGCTGGGATGGTTGGACAACTGACAAGATGACCATCGCTGAGCTCTGCGAGCCATTCCGCGACGTCCCTTTGTCCTTCCATGTTTATGCCAACCGCGGCACACCTCGTGAGTTCTTTGAAGTTAACGGTCATAAAGTCAATGCGTACTTCAGACACACGGTTGCTGCTGATGATCCGGCTATTGTTGGTGATCGTTCGACCGCGCTTTTCATTCGCATGCTGGAGGTTCTACCTACCTTGGAATATGCAAAGTATTATCCTGTTCTTTCGGCGGCGGAAAGGGATACCCTTGCCAAGTACGATAAGCGGATTTCCGGGATTTACGAGCACGATGAACTCGAGGTCCCTCCAAAGCTTGAAGATGCAAAGCCCGGGGCTCCAAGGCCCGGTGTTTAATATGGCATCGGTGAGTACCAATAGTAATAACCGGTTTGCATCTTTACCCAATGGATTTTAACTTTATTCTTCTCGTGTAGCTTGATATTTTTCAGAAAGATCTAGGAAGGATGACCATGGAAGCGGGGCTGGAGAGGCTCTGGCCTGTTAACAAGTCGGAGGCCATCAATTAGCAAGCAGCTAAACCAATACGAGATCTTTATCAAACTGTTCATTACACACGATAACATACGTATGTCAAGTAATCTTCCAGCAAATGACCGCGTACGGTTCGTCAAATTAGACTGAGGTAGTAATTGTACAGAAGAGCAAGATATTGTAGTCATGACGCAGAACAAAAAAAGCAAACTACCTAATGCCATCCATTGACCGTACCCGTCCCAGCAAGAAGTTCATCAAGCTCATCTTTTCGGCTCTTGTATAGATCCTGAGCCTCCCGCTCACGCCGCATAACGAAAGAGACCGCTTCGCGGAGTCTCTCAAGTCGCCGGGTCACGGCCGACTCCTCAGAGATCTGGAGTGTACGGAAAGCGTCTAGCTCATTTTCAGCTGCGGGCAATGCAGCACCAGCCTCCAGAATCTTCGACCGCAGCGTCTTTGCACGGTTCTGGTATCCGCCGTAGTGCAACGACAGCTTTTTTTCGAGCCTGTTTCCACGCTCAGCAGTAGCAAAGAGGGATGTTTGAACGGTATCGAAGGCCGCAACCATGCGTTGTTCTTCTTGGAAGGCATCCTGCTCGTCATCCTCGTAATTCTCAAGACCAGGCAGAGACTTGGCGCGAGCTGACGACCAGCCGTCGTCGAATTTCTCTTGCCATTCCGACTGCTGTGCTTCAGCGGAAGCAATCTCTGCGGCAATAGAAGCTCGCGCTGCGTCCAATAACCGGTCATCCAACTGACGTAACTTTGGTGCTTGGCCCTTGACCTGCGCGTCGGGGACGGGGAATTTGCGAGAGTCATGTGCAATCAGAATGGCAGCTTCATTGGCAATCAGACCTTCGATAGTGCCGGTGGCCTGGGAGGCACGTTGCAACAAGGCGTTTAGATCAAGAACAGCTGGACGAGGCAGGCCTCGCTGGTAAACTTGTGATTGACGCTTGAATTCAGCCTTGGCGGCCTTCTCTCGTGCTTCTTTGTTACGGCGATCACGCTCAGCCGCATCCTCTTCGCTGACCTCCTCAGATATGGTGGGCTCAGCGGACTCAGATGGAGCATCAAAGTCCCACTGGGATTCTTTGGGCTTGGGAAGCGAGGCCAGCTTGCTGCGCATCTGTTGGCGAATGAAGTTCTCGTGCATTTTAATGTCTCGGGGTGTGCTGCCAATGAGCTGGCCACCCTCTCCCTCCCGGTTCAAAGCCAGATGGTCTCGTGGGGTGCGCAATGGTGTAGCGCCGGCTCCAATACCGCCAGGCATAGGTGTTGCACCCATGCCATTCGCCTGGCGGAATGGCGTGGCCATGGGGTTGGGAGTGACAATCGCCTGCCGCCGAGGAGCAATCCCATCAAATCCAGTTGATGAGCTACCCTCATGGAGAGGTGTGTTATCCCCTCCCAGGAGGGAAGACTGAGTTTCAGTCAAAGCTCGAATGTTCTTGATTTCGTTGGCGATGCGATCCTCCTCGGGGGCAGCTCGCGGGGTTCTGATAGGAGTTCCTCCAACAATAGCCGAGTAATCTCCAAGGAGTTCCCGGGTGCCTGCTTCATCAGAGCCCATTCGATTAGCTTTCTCCCCAGCCATTCCCATCTTGATAACATGTTCTAGTTCGCTCTCGCTGATCTGCGGTGCTGGCAAGTTCAATCCCCGTCGCTTGTTGCTCTGTTCAGCCTCGCGAATCTTCTGCATTTGACCCGCTCGTGCAGCTGCAGCAGATGCAGCCGAGGCAGCGCCTTTATCGTTCTTGCGCTTCTTGCGCTCAGCGTCATCGTCTTGGTCACCCTTTCTTTTATTTGCGAGTTGTTGCTTCCGAGGATCAAAGGCTTCTCGTTGGCGTTCGTTCTGATCTTTCTCTTCAATTGTATCGTAGAATCCAGGAGCGGCTGGCTTTTCGAATGGGATGTCTGCATTGTAATCCATCTGACCGGGCTTCCGTGTGACGACTTTGACGTTGATACCGGCATTCTTGAGTTCGCGACGCTTCTGGAGAACGGCCAGTCGACGTGACTCTTCTAATTGGCGCTCTCGGGCCTTGCGCTTGGCCTTTTTACCCTGTGTGTTGGCGAGACGAGCACGCGCTTCGCTCAGCATTTCTTTCTCATCTTCATCCAGATCTATTGTGTCGGGACGGGCAGGCTTGGACTCAGGGTCGGGATCTAGTTCACCGGGTCTAAAAGGAATCAGCAACATGAAAATCATGGCCTTTCGCAAAAAGTCACGTACCGTAGGCGGCGGACATCGTCTGCACTAGGGGCGGCGCTCTCCTCGCCAGGTCCTCCCAGACCGAGCTCGTCATTTTCGCGAGATTCAGCTTCATCCAAAAGTTTCTGGTAGCGTTCGAGACATTGTGTGGCAGTGCGCCCGACGATGGGAGCAATTGTGCGCCATTGCGTGGGCATCAGCTTTGCAAGGTGGAGCAGTTTCTCGTCCTCTTCCCGCGACCACTCGACCTTGCGAATACCTGGGTCCAACCATTCAATCCAGCGCGCCTTGCATTGCTTCGGGGTTTTCCGTGCGAGAAGGGAGGAGACTCGAGCCCACTGGTTGAGACCATATTTGGATACCTGCGATCGAGTCAATTTTTGCTCCATCAAACGTTGGCTAGGTGGGTTCCCAGTGAGTTAAAATAACGTACAGCTGCCCGAAGCACTTCATCCTCGATGTTTGTCCTAATAGAATATTAGCGGCCAAACCTCGTGGGCGGATTCCAACGGTGGCACTCACCAGACACCTCCTTTGACGACAGGCATGGCGTGTGATCGCGCCGAGCGCAATGCCAAACCTTCGAAAATCTATAGTAAAAGATCAAGGGTCCCACCAGAAAGATGGAGGATGACAATCCACTGGCGTATAGGGAGTTCACGCGCCGTAAGTGATGACAGCTTGAAGCGGAAGAAAAGCGAGTTCACAATCAAGCGCGGTAAACGTGGTAGCCGCGATCACCGCCCCCGCGCGTGCTGAGATAAGCAGATCCAGAATTTTTTTGGACCGGAAAAAAAGATAAGCCAATATTTTCATACTATCATCGTTGACTGCCTGTCTCTGTTGTTTTCCACAATGTCGACCTCAGTGGATGCCCCCCAGCAGTTCAAGCAAACTTCCCGTAAGGGCAAGAAGGCGTGGCGCAAGAATGTCGATATCACCGACGTGCAGGAAGGTTTGCGCGATCTGAAGGACGCTGAGATCACAGGGTAGGCCTATCTTTGCTCTCTTTTCTTTGATTTTTTGGCTCTTTACTTTTGAACTGAGATTCTAATACTCCTTGCCTGCTAGTGGTCTTATCTCGGAAAAACCTTCCGATGAGCTTTTCGTTCTCGATACTGTCGGTAATGAAGATGTGCGCAAGTCTATCGCCAAAAAGCAAAAGAAGCCCCTCAAGTCAGACGAAATCCTTGCCCAGCGGTCAATGATCCCCGCCCTGGACGGCCGGAAGCGTGTAAACCCAAACGTCACCGACGGAGTCATTGAGCCGAAGACGAAGAAGCCCAAGAGCGACTGGGTTAGCAAAAAGGAATATCTCCGCTTGAAGCAAGTAGCAAAGGAGGGAAACCCCCTCGGCAAGAAGACCGAAAATGACTTCTACGATCCTTGGGCCGAAGATGCCGAACCCACGCTCACGTACGACGACCCTCGCTTCGATTTCCTGCAGAAGCCCAAGCCCAAGGTTGAGCCGGTCACATTAAAACGCCCCCCGATCTCGCTTGCTGCCAACGGAAAGCCAATTCCCTCTGTTAAGATGCCTCACGCCGGAACCAGTTACAACCCTGTGTTCGAAGAGTGGGACAAATTGTTGGAGACACATGGTGCCAAGGCAGTCGAGGCCGAGAAGCTGCGGTTAGAAGAAGAGGCCAAGGAAGCTGAGAAGCAGCGTCTGATTGAGGAGGCCCAGAACGACAACGGCGAGGTGAAGTCGGATGACGAGAGTGCCTGGGAGGGCTTCGAAAGCGAGTACGAGAAGTCTGAATGGCTGAACAAGAAGCGTCCCGAGCGGAAGTCCAAGACACAGCGCAACAAGGTCATCCGACGCAAGGCAGCAGAGGGGAAAGCGAAGTGGGAGGCAGCGCGGGTAAAGAGAGATGAACAGGCCCAGCATATTCTCAAGATCGCCGAGCAAATCCAACAACGGGAGCTCGAGCGCGAGAATCAGTCAGATGCGGATGATTCTGAAGATGGTGATGACACTGCCCTCCGCAGGAAGACCTTCGGTGGCAAGAAAGCGTACGTTTTGGTCCATTTTCTTATAGCGACGTTGCGACTAACGAGATATTTTAGTGTACCCGAGCAGCCGTTGGAGCTGGTGCTTCCTGATGAGCTGCAGGATTCTCTACGTCTCTTGAAGCCGGAAGGTAACCTCTTGGATGACCGATTCCGAACATTGATCGTTCAGGGTAAGCTCGAGTCTCGCACACCAATTACCCAGGCACGCAAGGCCAGACGACAGATCACGGAGAAATGGGCTGCGAAGGATTTCAAGACTGGGTACGAATGATTTTGCATATTCCCTCTAAAAGCGCGTGCATTTTGTTATCTGGACATATAATGTGGTCCTAAGGTTAGATGAGTTAGGATCAGGTTTCATTTCAATATTTTTCAAGCACTTAAATCAAAGTAAGCACTTGATTGGTAGTAATCGTACATATTGTATATAAATTGTACATAGGAGCCCGAAATACCAATATAGTCCAGGTATAAAGCAGTAAAGTCCAGTAAAGTCCAATCGCTACCTGGTCAACTATCAACCCCAAAATAAAAGTGGGTCCCGAAAATTTACTTGCTTATCGTCTTTTTTTATCTTTCCCATCTTCTCTCTCACCACCAGAACACAGAATGGACAAGACAGCGCTTT